TGGCCCAAGTTGGCACCATCATTGCGCTCTTCCCGGGCGAGGCAGATCAGTCGCCGGCTTCTGGACGGCCGCTCACTGCGGCTGCTGGCCGCTCACGCTGGCTGCTGGCTACACACGGTAGCCCATGGCAACCCACTGCCACAGGGACTGCAGCCAACGCCGTCGCTGGCGACTCACGGCAGCCCAGCTCCAGGTTGAGCTGTTGTTCAGCATCTTAGCTGTAGAGGGCAGTGTCACTGGCCCTCATATGTGGGATCCGAACCGGGGCCCTCTGGCGTCCCAAGCCAGCTCTTAACCATCGCGCCACTCGGCCGGCCCGCAATCTAAACCTTCTGAATTGGAACCTCCCATTTCAGGTCATTACGAAGGGATATTTGTCAGAGTATAAGAGAAGACTAGAACATCTTAAGTATATGTTTACTTGATTTGTAACTTTTAAATATTTAGGCACATTTATACTTTTGCCCTGGGCCCAGCAAATCAGAGAGAGCCCGATTCTTCTTCTAGATATTTTTTATTCAAAAGACATCATCAGAAACACAAAGCTTTATGCATGAGGATGAGATTTAAAGTGTATTTTATATGAGGAAAAGAAGACATCATCTTCGAAGTAATATTAAAGGGAGCATTAACCTAAATTCTGTTATACTGTAGATGGAGGGTCATGCCAGGGTTTTAGGCTGGAATGATTAAAGATGGAGGAGGAGGAAGTTGGGAGGACGGAGGTTAGAAATCAGGCTCTCCAGTTGAGACATGCTGTTCGAGACACTTGTAAGATGTCAAGTAGGTGGTTGGTTATACAAATCAGGAACATGGGGGCAGAGATGTAAATCTGGGGTTCATGTATATAGAATCATCACATATGTAATCATACTGATATGATTAGACCTATGTACAAAATCACGGACATAATACATAATCATCTGGACAGAAGTGATATCTGACGGTAAATCTTAGGGAAAAGACAAGAGGGTCCAATGCTAAGCCCCGAAATAGTGGTGCCTTTGGAGATCTGATAAAGTGTAGGTGTTACTGCTGACTCTTTCCACACTTTTACATCGAGGCTTTGTGAGATAATGGAAAAAATATAGATTGGTGTCTGCCCCCGGTTCCTGGCATAGAGCTCCCTAATCCCTTGGAATTCCCTGGGTCATAGGAGTGGCTTCTGTTTTAACGAGGTGACTCTTTTTGGGGTCCTGGAAAGCTTCATGGTGGGCGCTGGTCACCAGAAAGACCAGCCATGATTAGAGGCTTGGAGCTGTAGTCCCGCCCACCGTCTTCCGAGAAGAGGAAAGGGCTGGAGACTGAATTAATGATTGATCATGCCTGCATGACGAAGGCTCCATAAAAATCCCGAAAGTATGGGGTTCCGAGAGCTTCCGGCTTGGTGAACACGGCTCCTCTCTGGAAGAGAAGCTCCTAGGCTCAGGACCCTTCCTACCTCCCCCCTATTTATCTCTTCCTCTAGCTGTTTACCTGCACCCTTTATCATAGCCTTTATTAATCAACCAGGAAACGTGAGTCAGTGTTCGCTGGCTTCTGTGAGCTGTCCTAGCAGACGTTCGAATCCGAGGAGGGGGTCATAGGGAACCACTGATTTTTTTTTTTTGGTTTTTTTTTTTAGCTGAGCCATCCTGCCACTTGTTGGCAGGTCACTGGCGACTCACAGCAGCCCAGCTCCAGGTCGAGCTGTTGTTCAGCATCTTAGCTGTAGAGGGCAGTGTCACTGGCCCTGATGTGGGATCCAAATCAGGGCCCTGCTGCTCAGAGCCAGTGTCCCAAGCCAGCTCTTAACCAACGCGTCACTCGGCCGGCCCAGAGCTCACACTCTTGAGCGAGCTCTTAACCAACTGAGCCACTCCACCAGCCCTGGGAACCATTGATTTATTGCCAAGTTGGACAAAGCTGTGGGTAAACTGGGAAGTACTTCTTGCTGTTGGTGTCCGAAGTGGGGCAGTCTTGTGGGGCTGAGCCTTTAACTGCAGCGTCTGTACTGACTCCAGGCTGAACCCACATGTCTGCTGTTGAAATGTTGTGAGTGTGAGTGAAGGCAACACAGTACACTTTTCCCAGACAGGCCTCTATTTCCCTTAGCACTGCCTGGTTTGGAGGTCTGGAAATAACAGTATCCACTGTAGAGATAAGTTTAGGGACACTGGAAAAAATAATATAATTCTGCATCATTAAATCAAGATTTGAAACATATTATTTACAGATTTCCCCCTTTACCTGTATCCTTGAATTGGTAAGCCGTAACAATCCTGATAAATGAAAAAGGCTTTCTTTTGAAAAAAAAAATTTATGTTTCCCTGTGAAAACATCCAAAGATATTTCTTCAATTCAAGTGAAATAAGAGGCTAGAAATAAGTACAAGACCAACCTGATTGATTAAAAAAAAACAACATAAAACTATTCTTTTTATCTGAAGTTTAAAGAATGAAGATGTGGACTGGGAAGAAAAAAAGGTATTTCAGTTTGCAAAGCCCTTATGGTTTCTGGGAGTGCTTTTCTTCAAATTCCCCTTGCCTTTCATCTGGGTTCTGAAAGCCTCTGTGGCGTGTCCCGTTTATATAGAAACTGGCCGTCCCAGGCAGGTTTGCAGAAAGGTGCCGATGACATTTCTAGCCCATAAGTAGTTGCACTGGCAGTTCTCCCAGCAAAAGTTCACCTTTCCCGGTGACCCCCAAGGGGTTGCATTCATTCCCATATGTCTGAAATTATTACTTCAAAGCACCCAACTCAATTCACCCTGGTATAAAACGCAGTTCACCTTCCCGGCCTGAGACCCTGTTGGTTTGAGCAGTTCTAATGGTCTCGAGATGTGGGCAGTGGCCTGTGGGGGAGAGGGGGGGGCAGGGCCCGGCTCTTTCTGAAGCCATCAGGTCTCTACTTCTGAACACTTGACTTGCTTCCTTTTGAACGTGGCTGACCTGGTTCCATTAAAGCATCTTCTGCTCCCTCCCTTTTACCACAGACCCTAGTGTTTCAGGCCTATTGATCCATTACAGCATGCGGGGTGTGAGCCAGTAATGGCTTTCCCCTTTCTGCAGCTGGAACCCAGAGTGCCCCCACCTGCCCCCCACCAGCAGATGCAATGAAAGGGGGAATGGGCGGAGCCCCAGGCATCTCCCTGAGCTTCAGAAAGAGCCTGCAGTCACCCAAAGTACCACTGCGTCTCACTGCAGTTTGAACCCTTTTTTTTGTTTGTTTGTTAGGGTCCTCAGTATAGATAAAGAGTTACAACAAGAGGGTTGTCGTGACCTTTTTGTTCCACATTATGAGAGAATTCCTTCAGTGTATTTTCTGTTCATCCAAATCATCAGGATCCTGGCAGGAAACAATGGCCCACTCAAAGGGTGACGAAAGAAAAGTTAAACGGGGAACTGTTTCCAGAGGTATGGTCAGTGCTAAAAATGCACCAAAGGACAGCAAAGCTCCCACACGCCAGGCACAGTGCACAGCACTGGCGTCCCTAAACCGGAAAGGGTGGGAATGAAACTGGAGGCCAGCCCAGTCCGGGGCTCAGGACTCGGGGCTTGTGCTGCCTGTGCCGCTCAGCCAAGACTGACACAGGAATTGGGTCATAGAATAAGCATTTATTATCTGAACATCGGTGGTCTGAGAAGGCAGCAGGTTAACACCTCCAAAAACTGCCTTCACATCCTCAGTCCAGTTTAGGGTATTTAAGGGAAAATCCGGGCGTTCCTCCAGAGGCTACGTGGCGGTTCGGGGGGTTCTGCGTGAAGCCTTCTCTCTGGCAGCTCCCGTGGCATCAGCAACCCGGGAACAATGATGGCAGTAGCCTGGGAAGAATGCTAGACCATAGAGATTGTGATCCATAAGCGTAAAGGTATTAATCATAAGTTTCAGGATAATTTTCTGAAGCAGGGAACTGGGTGGGACATTCCAAGCTGAAGCCTCGGGGGATAATCTATTGCTAAGCTATAGGTCAAGAAAAGGTGAGGTGAGGGGCATGGCGAGGCCTCTACCATGGGGTCCCAACCGGGCCCTGCTTCAAGAGGAGGAAGTGAGGTTATTGGAACCTGAGGGCGGTAGCCATGAATGAGGGGCTGTGTGACAGGAGCTGAGGCCACAGGGGAGAAAAGTAGCCGTAGCCAAAACCACAGCTCAGCAAAGGGGGGGGACCTGTACAGCGGCTTCTCATTATTCACAGGAGTTCTGTTCTAAAGTCACCACGAACACTGGATTAGTGGATTTTGAGCCATGCTCCCCAGGGAAACGCAGGGTTCGGGGCCTGCGAGCCTCTGGTCACATTTTTGTCAACATATTAATGCATAACCTTGCTTGATGTGTTTCTATTTAAATATAATCACATTTAATACATATTGTTGATTTGTTCACATTGAACTCAAGGCCAACAGCATTATAACTCACGAACAAAGCTCATCTAACACCTGATTTCCTCTGTAAGCACATCAGCTTTCCTGGGTGTTTCAGCACCAGGCTTGGGGGCCGCCGTAAACCGCAGAATCACCAAGGAACAGCGCAAAAACGCCGAAGCATGGCACTAACTAGACCATGAAAAGGTCCCTTGTTTTACAGTGTGAGAGCTTAACCTCAGCGAGAAATACGTATGTTAGGCAACTAAAACTCCTCGTCACTCAGTGCCTGGCCACAGATGAGGGTGAAGGTGCTTGAGTATTGGTTTGCAGGTTACACACCAATTCGTGAGCAGGCCAATTTGCATATACGAAGCCTGGGGAAAAATGAAGATGGCCACCCACCAGTCACCCACCACACCTTTCATTGGCCAACCCCAACCAGAAGTCAGATGCAACAAAATCCAGTTAATGCCATTCATAGACGTCAGTCTCCCAGGTACACATCAGGGCAGAAGAGGACAGAGAATGGATTGGAAGGGGAAAGAGATGAGCCGGCCCCTTCTTTCTACTGAATTTCAGATAGGACGGTTATAGTTTTAATTCCCAGAAGCTATTCCATTCTCTAATTGTTCCTTTTTTGTGACATTTTCTACACAGATAAATATCTTCTCAAATCTCTCTGAAGATACAACTGAAGGTATTGCTGATTGTGATCGGTATGTGTCATTTTACTTGTCTTTGGTTCCCTGTCTTATCTCTGTTTCTTCAGGCATTATTTTTGTATCAATCAATACAGGTGTTCCTTTTTCATGTCGCAGTCTTTCGTCAACTCTCAGGTCATATTTTAAAATGAGGTCATAGAAAAGGTAACGGGGGGGTTTCCAACCCCTCTCGCTTGCGCGCTCTCTCTCTCTCTCTCTCTCTCTCTCTCTCTCTCTCTCTCTCTCTCTCTCTGAAATACAATACTATTCAGCCATTAAAAAAGAAGAAAATCCTGCAATTTCCAACAACATGGATAGACCTTGAGGGCATCACGCTAAGTGAAATAAGTCAGATAAAGAAAGACAAATACTGTGTGATCTCATTTATGTGTGGAAGCTAAAAACATCAAATCATAGAAACGGAGTAGTGACTTGTCCAGCCCTGGGAACCTCCAGTATCAGTTTCCCATGGCTGCCAAGTAGCTAATTACCACAAATTTGATGGCTTAAAACAACAGGAATGTGTTGTCTCACAGCTCAGGAGGCCAGGAGTCTGGAATGGAGATGCTGGCAGGGCCACGCTCCCCCTGAAGCCTCTAGGGAACAGCCCTCGCTTGCCTCTTGTAGTTCCTGAGCCCCCGCCCCCACATCTCGGGACTTTGGTGGCATCACTCAGTCTCCACCTCCGTGTTCACACTGGTCTCCATGTGGCCTCTTTGCATCTCTGTGTCCCTCTCCTAATAGGGGCACAAGGCATTGGATTGAGAGTCCACCTGAAATCCAGCAGGATTTCATCTCAAGATCCTTAACTAATTCCATCTGCAAGCATCGATTTCCAAATAAAGTCACATCCTGAGGTTCCAAAAGGTAGACATGAATTTGGGGGATGCAGCATTTAAACCCCTGTATTTCCCTATAAGGAAAGAACCAATCTTTATCCCCATCTGACAGATGAGGGAACCAAGGCTCAGGATACGTTGCCTACAGGTACACAGCTGGTAAATAGCAGTTTGAGCCCAAGCAGCCTACCTCCACAGGGGGACGGCGTTCTCGAGCGCTGCGCTGCACCCGCTCTGAGTGCCCTGTGTGCAGACATTGGCAGCAATCTCCGACTCCTGGGGAGAGGAAGCTATAACATCACGATGACAATAGTAAGACAACGGGAGCATGCTACAGCACCGTTGGGGTCCGATGGGACAGAATGTGGCACACAAGTTTTGGTCAGAGAATAGAGTACCAAGCATCCACCTCAGAGGCTCTCACCATCTGGCCATGCATGGGCACCGTGTGACTGCAGACAGCCCCGTGAGATCTAGCAGGTGGCACCATGCGATGGTCCATCTTGATGGGCCCTCCTGGCCGCCGAGGGCTCTACAGCCTAGCACACTGCATCGGGGCAGAGTCCTAATGGCCAAGCCCATACGTGGCACTGAGGTGTGTCAGGCGCTGTGCTACACATAGCTCATGTGATTACCACAACAACTCTATGACAAATGTGGAAACTGAGGCACAGAGAATTTCATGACTTGCCCGAGGTCAAATCCAGGTGGTCTGGCTCTGGAACCCACTGTGCCACAGAAGGACCTGTGATCAGAGCGCAGGAAAGACAGCCGCCTTAGAACATTCGGTCCTAGTTGGGGATGCAGAGGGGTCAAGGACAAACGGAAGGTCCCATGGTAATGCGTGAGAGGCAAGTAGACAAACACTTTCCCTTTTTTTTTTTTTTTTTTTTACTATTAATGAGACCCCGTTTTTACCCCTAGACCTGCATGTCCTGAGAAATATCATCGTATTTGAACCAGAAGGAATTTAGAGCGTAACTGGGTCTGTCCATAGCTGAAACCTGTAAGACACTCATTACCTCTCAATCTCACAAGTATTTAAATACTTTTAGAAAAGCGCAGTTTAATCATTAGAGACTCAGTAACATCAGGGAACTGGTCTGTCCATATACAATAGAATTCATGTTCAAACTTGTCAAGGTTTGCTTATTTGTACAACTCGGAGTGATAATTTTCTCAGTTTCTAAAGAAGAGAAACCTTGAAATTCTCTACCAAACATTGAATTCCAAGAGGAAAGTAATATCAGCATTCAGCCACTAGATGGCAGACTCCCACAGTCTGAGGTGCAGACAAATATTGAACAAATTAAATGACCATCAACAAGAACATTTTTTTTTAAAGATGCTCACAATCAAATACCAGCTTCATATGTAATCAAGAAAGGGTCTGTGAAAGTAGCTGATTCCTTAGGGAAGAAAATAATAGGGTACAAATTTAGCCTGCCCCCACTCCCATCCACTACCCGCTAATGATCAATAAAAGGAATGGGACCCAAGAGGATTTATAGAGAAAAGGAAATAGATTATCCATATGCTTCCAGCCGATCCTTAAGTGTCAACCTCTTTGAACTGGAGAAAGCGGGGTTTAGGGAACCCCTGCAGCCCCCACATCCTCTCTCTCATAGAAACTGACAGCCTGGATCCTTTGGCGCCCAGGGGCCGGTACTGGTGTCAGACTTTTGCAATGAGGTGGCAGCCAGCAGACGTTAGTTTATGGCGGTAGAAAGGGCACATGCACGGAGACTTGGGTTCGAATCCTGGCTCTGCCACTGACCACTGCTTGGCAGGTCACTGTATCTCTCCAAGGTGCAAGGTCCTCATCCATATTAATCATCTATTTGATACAATATGAATACAATATAATATAAAATATGTGTGATATTAATATGTTCACTTGACAAGGTCATTGTAGTGATTATAAATAATAACTGTCCCACACAGTTGTCTGCCAGGGAAAAAAAGATTGGCAAGTTCAGAAGTCACTTTTTTATTTCATTTAAGGAACAGCTGTGTGTTTCCTTTTAATATATCTGTTTATAACTGTGAAAGCAATGTGTGTTTATTAGAGGGAATTTGGAAATACAGTTAATTTTGATAATTTAAAAAATTATCCAGTCATTGTCCATTATCCTATCACCCAGAGATAACCATTAGTATCTCCTTCCAATCTGTCTTTCTACCTCCCTATGCACACACAGGTATGTATATTATATGTGTATGTACTGCAAAATTGGGGTCCTATGGTATGCCTAGATATATACCCTGATTTATTCACTTAAACAATATATAATGAATATTTTTCACATCCTTGAATGTTCTTTTAAAGTATATTAAATGGGTGCAAAATACTTCTTATGAAAGTGCCCATATTCTATTATTGTTTTTAGTTTTTCATTAGTATAAATAATTCTAGGGTGAGTATCTTTGAGCATCACAGACAAGGTCCTTAAGACAAATTACTATGAATAAAGATACTGGGTCAAAGGATTAAACGTTTTTAAGATTTGAAACACCTGTCACCCACTGCCTTACTGAACAGTTACGGCAGGTTACACACCTGTCACCGTGGAGGATGGTCCCATGTCACTACCTCTTTATCAGGCCTGGATGTTACTTTTCTTTTCTTTTTTTTTTTTTTTTTTAAAGATTTTTACTGGGGAATTGGGGGGATGGGAACAGTGCTGGGGGAATTGGGGGAAGGGGAACAGACAAGTTGCTGTCCTTTTATTCTTCAGTCTAGTTGTGGAGGACATTGCTTCACTGGCCCAAGTTGGCACCATCATTGCGCTCTTCCCGGGTGAGGCAGATCAGTCGCCGGCTTCTGTACGGCCGCTCACTGCGGCTGCTGGCCGCTCACGCTGGCTGCTGGCTACACACGGTAGCCCATGGCAACCCACTGCCACAGGGGCTGCAGCCTACGCCGTTGCCATCAACTCATGGCAACCCAGCTCCAGGTTGAGCTGTTGTTCAGCATCTTAGCTGTAGAGGGCAGTGTCACTGGCCCTCATGTGGGAACCGAACCGGGGCCCTCTGGCGTCCCAAGCCAGTTCTTAACCATCGCGCCACTCGGCTGGCCCTGGATGTTACTTTTCTTAATTTGTCAATTTTCTTGGGAAAAAATGGTATCTTGTTATTTTAACTTGATTTTTTTTTTATTACTAATGAGGTTGGAGGTGTTTTCATAAGATTATTGGCCGCCCTAGTTCTTCCATGTGGAATTTACTCAAGTTTTTATATATCTTCCTGTTCGAGTGTTTACTTATTACCAGCTTACAAGAGTTTATTATATAATCACGACTTAATTCCTGTGTCACTTATATTGGAAAATGGTTTCCCTAGTTCTTCATTTATCTTTAATATTATTGCTTATGGTACTTTTTGATACAAGTTTTTCATTTTAATGTACAGTAATCAAAACCTTAGAGGGAAAGCATGAATGTTTAGAACAGTCTTCCTCTCATCTAGATCTGATAAATATTTACACGTGTTTTCTTCTGGGTCTTTAATAGTTTCATCATTTACACTTACTTCTTTAATAATAAACATGAAATTTGTTTTGGTATAGCATATAGGTAGAGAGACAATTTAATTTTTTTGCAAATATTTAAAGTTATTCACTACCATTGTCATTTTCTTCATCTAGGTTCTACCTATTTATGAAGATTATTTCCAGTTATTTCGTATTTTGCTTCTATCGTAAGTAGAATTTTTTATTATCTTTACTAATTGGCTTTTTTTGAATATAGAACACTATTAATTTTTTCAGACATTTATTGCGTAACAAGCAAGTTTATGAAACTCTAATTTTGATTGTGTATCAGTTAATTGTCTTGGATTTTCTAGGTATAAAATTTTATCAGTTACAACTCATGAAACTTTTGTTCCCTCATTTCTAATTACGAAATTCCTTTTCCTTGTTTTATACATTTGCTAAAACAAGAGTGCTAAATCACAGTTATAACAGGTCAGCTCATTTCAGGTTTAAATATAAGGTATGACACCATTTATTCAGTGACCATTGAGTGTGTATTCTGTGCCAAGGATTGTTTCAGGCGCTAGAAATACAACAGTGGGAAAAACAGTAAAAAAAAAAAAAATCAGCTATTATGTATTTGTGTTCTACTAGTGTTGGTTTGTATTTCAAGACAGATTAGTCTTTATAGAAAGGACTTTTTGTACACACACGATCGTCCATAGATTAATCTGTTGTCTCATGTGGCAGAGCTTTCTGATATCTAGAAATATTTACCCATAGATGAAACACCTAGGCAAGAATGTCCTAGAAACTATTCCAGCACTGGGGGGATGGTTGGACTAGATTATTTTATTTAACAATCCTAAATTAGGCATCTATCATCTGCTAGGTACAAAAGAGCTATATTGAACTTTCTCTGCTCTTCATGGCCTCAGAGTCTCGTGGGGGACAGAGCAATATGGACAAATATTATAGCAATGTAAAAATACAGTGTAAGAGAGGTTTAAACAGGGTTTCACACAAACATGAAAAAAGAAGTGAAAACTCTTCTTGTATGAGGGAATGAGTCTCCAAGCATAGGGAACAGTGTATGCAAACTCAAGAGTCACAATAGAACATGTTCATGTTTAACTGCAAATGTTTTAGTTTGGCTGAACCACAGAATTTGGGAAGTTTCCTTGGAATCATGAGATTATATAATTTACTGTTAAGTTATTCAAGTGTTTATAAGGGGTTGCATTTCAAATGTCTTATGAAGCCTCTTTCCTCAGCGTCTTTACTATGCTCATGTGCATTGTGAATCTCCAATTATAAAATATTTGCTTATAATGTATAAGCTATTCATCTTTAAGAGGAGTTAGGGGGTTTGAGGTAGCTAGCAAAACCATAAAAAGATAAAGTAAAAATTTTAAATCAAAACCACATTAAAAGGGGCCCACTCAAATCTGTCAGTTGGATGTGTGTGTCCCAAAACTTGTTCTCCATGGAAGTCAAATGATGATGGCTTGGGGTCGGGGGGAGCGAGTAGTAGATCGTTATTGTGTAAGGGAAAGTTTGGGGAGATGAAAAAAGGTTCTGGAGATGGATGGATGGTGGTGGTTTCATAACAGTGATAATGTACTTAATGTCGCCGAACTCTGTACTTTAAAAATGGTTAAAATGGCAAGTTTTATGTTAGGTATATTTTATCCCAACTTTTTCAATGTGCATTTTATGGAATGTCAATTCAAAGACATGTTAATAGATGTTATATGGGGGGGGAGGGCTTCTCTCCTCAAATAAACTGGGGTGGGGTGGGGTGGGAATTGGGTTAAAGTAGTATAGGTTTCTTTTCTACAGGCTTCTCTGAGCCTTTAGTATATCAGTATGTATTATGAACTACGATATCCAGTATTTCCCAATTGCATTTAAGCGCAGAGTACCTTGTAGGGCTCTCTTTCATGGAACCCATTCAAGGCAATGCTGTTACAGGTAATAGAATATCTACTGTGATTGATTGTTACACTTACTGTCATTTTTTTTCTTGACTGCTAAAACAAAAAAGAAAACACAATCAGTTTACAGTTCAGGAAATGAAACAATTTCCTTTTTGCTGGTGCTAAATCCTTAAAAGAAGGGATTATGTAAATCCTTCTTTGAAGAAACAAAACAAAAGAAAAAAGTATCATCAAAAATCTTACAAAAGGTGCAGAAATGTTCATGTCGCTGTTTTTAACATTGGCCCTAGATGACAAAGCTAAAATAAGAACATATAACTTAATAAAGATGGCTAAGTTGATGTGGTAGAATTTAGATAATCTATAGGAGAACTTTACAGAAGTAAATTTATAAATCACAGAACGGTGGTTATAAAAAAAACAAAAACCTTAAATTACATATGGTCATGCTAACAAACTGACCTCTCTCATGATGTTTCCAGAATACCAGAGTCTTCATATTTTGATATTTTATGTCATTCATGTACTTTTCTTCTGAATTTTCCGTTATTACTTCTTTGCAGTAGGGAACACAAAGACAATTTTATGATGTCTTTTGTGACGATTCCTTCCAATACCGGGAGGATAATGGTCCAGTATTTATGCTGATTTTAAATATTCTCCCATCTGAGACATATCCAGAGGCAAGTTTTAATTGCTGCCTCTGACAAACTTTACCCATTGTGACTTCCCAAAATTCTCTGACAAATTAGCTTGGAAACTCCACACTAAAACAATCGTTTTTGTTCCTCAGCCTTTCTGACAGACCGGGCTGGCCAATTGTGTCATAATGTATCGCTGTAATTAAGCATTTTGACAGGAAAGAGACATGTTTATATTTCTAGTCAGTGTGCCCCACTAGATTTCACACCCTGAGGTGAAAACCGAGACTGCACAGAGAAGCATAAAAAAGCCAGAGAAATCTGCAGGACGTATAAACTCTGCCTCTCTGCCAGATCCCAGAGCCTGAGGGTTCAGTGTTGACCTGGCCTACACTTGCTCTGTGACACCGACTGTATGGATCCAGAAAGCAAATGAACTTGAGCCATGTTGGAAATTCTCCTTCTTCATTTCCAGCCTTAGTTACCGGTGTAAACATCCATCTGGTCAACTAAGCTGGATTCCTCAGGGCAGCGGTTCTCAACCTGTGGGTCGCGACCCCTTTGGGGGTCGAACGACCCTTTCACAGGGGTCGCCTAAGACCATCGGAAAACAAAAAGATATTTACATTACGATTCATCACAGTAGCAAAATGACAGTTATAGAGTAGCAATGAAAATCATTTTATGGTTGGGGGTCACCACAACATGAGGAACTGTATTAAGGGGTCGCGGCATTGGGAAGGTTGAGAATCGCTGCCTCAGGGCAACCTTAATCTCTCCTTCACCATCCATATTCAATCCATCATATGCACTCACAATCCCATCTCAGGAAAGTATCTGGACAAAACCTCTCTCCCTCCGTCTCTCTGATCACTGTCAATACTTTGTGCCCTCGTTTTTCCTGGACTAGTACAACGTTGTCTTGAGTTGGGTTAGATTCTTTTGCCTAACTTGAGCCTAACTTGAGCCTAACTTACTCCCATAGTGGTTTTAAATGTTACATTTCCCAGCTTGCTAATGACAGTGAACATTTTTCATAACTTTATTGGCCATTAATGTTTTCTCTTCTGCAAAATGCTTTTTCATGTCTTTTGCCCATTTTTCTTGGGTGTTTCTTAGTGACTGATTTTTTTTCCATTGACTTTCTATTGTCTTTTTTTTTCATATTAGTACACTTTATTTTACTTTTTAAAAAATTTTCAATTACATTTGACGTTCAATATTATTTTAGTTTCAGGTACATAGAATAGTGGCTAGACATCTATATAACTCAGGAAGTGATCCCCATCTGACACCATACATAGTTATTACAATATTATTGACTATATTCCCTATGCTGTACTTTACATCCCCATGACTATTTTGTAACTACCAATTTGTACTTCTTAATCCCTTCATCTTTTTCACCCATTCCCCCAACCATCCTCCCATCTGGCAAACATCATTTTGTTCTCTGTATTTTTTAGTTTGTTTCTGTTTTGTTTGTTCATTTATTTTGTTTTTCAGGTTCCACTTGTAAGTGAAATCATATGATATTTGTCTTTCCCTGTCGAATTTATTTCACTCAGAATAATACCTTCCATCCATGCTGTTGCAAATGGTAATATTTCATTCTTTTTTATGGCTGAGTAATATTCGATTGTGTGTGTGTGTGTATGTGTGTGTATATATATATATATACATATATATATATATATACACACATACACACACATATATATGGCATATTTTCTATTGTCTTTTTACTACTGATTCGTAGGAGTTTTTATGTACTCTGAACACTAACCTTTTGTCTATTATATTTGTGGCAAAGAACTTCTTGGGAACTCCTAGAGGGCCCCTGTGTGGGGGTTCAGATGTAGAAGCACCCCACAGAGATTCGGCCCCCAGAACCAAACCTTGTGACTCAGCTCCGAGTATCAGATTCTCATGAACTGAGATGCTGCAGTCAGGCCCAGCCTTTCCTACTGGCCAGTAAGGATCATAAGGGGACCTGTGACAATTCCATCCATAATACTGGTCATCAAGGACTAGAATTTTAGGGCTCCAGATAGTGTCCAGGGTATGTTAGCTTACCGACGAAACCTGTGAATCATGCACATGGTTGGCTGTCCCCCCTTCAGTGACAGTTCTCAGCATCCTGGCGGTGTGTGTTCCCAAAACTGCCTCCTCCCCGCTCAACCCCAGAGTCATGTGGTCCAGGGGAGCTGAGGAGCCTGCTGACCGCTCCTGTTCTGTGCTCGTCAACGGCTAAAAGCTCTCTGCTCAGCACATAGCCTTTAGCTGGTCACGCGCGGCCTCTCCAAGCTAGGTCTCCGTTGAGCCCTTCAGCAGCTCGCTGGGCTTTTTCAAGGCCCATCCAGTCCAAGAAACAGCTTAGCATCCTCCTGCTTCGCCTGGAGAAAGCAAACCAGTGTCACACTCTGCAGCACAGCACCCCAGACTCCCTCTAGGCTCTCTTCTAATAGGCAGCAAGGCCCGACACAGTCAGGTTTCCTTGCTCCCTGAAAAGGCCTCGTCAACGTGCAGACAAATCGAGCCCATCACCAGCTCCGCAGCATGCAGGCAGCAGAGGGTTTGGCCCCTTTGTCAAGATGTCTCCCTCCTCAGCATAGAAAAACATGAAAAGCAAGTCTTCAGTGGTG